TCTTTATTCAGAAAAATGTGTATGGAGTGAACAACCCCACTCTCATCCCTGCCCCCCCCCGGCCCCCCGGGGAATGAACAGCCTCTGTGTAGGGAAGTGCGGCGATGTCCGCAGCAGTGTTATTTATCAAAGTGAAAAACGGGGAGCTACTTGCAATCTGACCCCTTTAGAATGGCCCGCTCAGTTGGGGCAGACCCGTTCAGTGGAATATTATGCAGCCATTTAAAACAATTAGGCTTTTCAGTCATTTTTACTGAGCGCTGTGTGTATCCCCTGACGCTGGGACCTGAACGCCAAATGGGATCTGGGTCTCATCCTCTGCCTGGAGCCTGTAGTTCAGAAAAGTGCAGACCTTAGAAGGAAAAGGAAACTTGGAAAATGCTTATTATATGATTCTAAGCGAGAAAAAACAGAGTAGAAAATTATATGCACTCTGCCTTCCACTGTAACCGCAGCAGGTGTCTGTGGAACGCCGACGGTGTGTCAGATGCTGGGCTACGGGTGTCCTGTGCTTGCTGTTTAGTTCTCACAATAACCCAGTGGGGTAGGTTTTAGTACCGCTCCGTGGTCACAGGAGGAAACTGAGGCACGGAGGAAATGACTGAGCCAGGATTCAAACCCAGGACTACCTGGCCCCCAAGCCCAGTTTTAACCATTGGCATACACTCTTTCTTTAATAGAGAAATAATGTCTGCTCAAAGTCAAGTACCAAAAATAAAATCTGGGCCAATGACAAGAAGGGTGGTAGGATTGGGGGCTTTTTCCTCTCTTGGTTTCTACTACATTTGTATGGGGGGGGGGAAAGAAGGCAGTTAAAAAAACAACCCAGACACCTAGAATTTGCAGCAGATGGGGACAAATGAATGGAGAAGCTAAAAAAAACGTGGGGTAGAGTTAATAATGCATGCCTTGGCTTAGAACAGGGAGATAGAATGATTTAGGAGCAAGAAGTGAAGCTGGGAGAATTAGGGTTATCGCCCCCCAGCCATTCTTGCTGAATCTTTTTATTACCTAGTGCTTAAATACCCATCTCCTCAGTGTTTGCATTCCTCTCATTTTTCAGACTACAGGAAATGACAAAGGGGGGAAAACCCTGTTTGCTCTCCACCCTGGAGCGCTAGGAGAGGGTTATCTCTGCCAAATTCTTTCTCAGGTCATAAGAGGTTTTAGGTTCCCTTTACCTGAGAGCCTGGAAGCACCACTGAGTCCAATCTCCCTGGAAAATGCAGAAAGGAGTCACTGTCTAGAGATTTGAAAGCAAGGTGGTTTTACTGGGGAGATGGTTGCCTTGGTCCCCTGCAGAGACCTTTGGAAATAGGAGAGCCATTTTCCCTGTCAACACAGCTTTTAGAAAGTAGGCACCCCTGAACAGGGACGGCAAAGGCACAGAGGGAGCTGGAAGGGGAGAGGGGAGAGAAAGGTACCATTTGTTCAAATAGCTATTGAGCACCTAGTGCCTGTAGGTGTGAGTCTGTAGCAGCGAAGAGTGAAAGGAACTTACAGTCCAGCCGAGGGCTGTCCAAAACCCCACCCTTCATGTCCACTGAGGAGCGTGGCTTCCTGAGAACTAGAAGGTGGGAGCCAAGAGCCAGAGCACCCACTATGCTCAGAGGTTGAGTGCCCAAGTCCTGCAGCTAGGGGTCAAACTCATGCTTGCAGAGCAGGGTGCAGAGCCCTGCCTGTCCCCTCCACGGGGTCCTTCCCAGCTCTTCCATGATGGGCTATTTCAGGGGTGTTGGAAGATGTGGACTCTAACTGAGTCAGGATTACTTAATATGTGACTCTTAAGTCCAGAATGTTGTTCTCCAACTTCAAGAAACTGTTTATTACCCAGAATCATGCAAGGATACACACTTTTCATCACGGCAGAATGCTCCTTACTGACCACATTGAAACAATTGCTTAAGGATCCGTCTCTTACCTGCTTTTCATAAGAATTATCATTAATTTACACGAGAAGAAAGTCTGTTTGGATATGCTTAATGTGCCCTGTTCTTCCCCTCTGAATTACACCTGATCTATTTATTTACTTAGTGAAACGGATCCGTGATATCAGGCACTGCAGAGGTCTTCCCTGTGATCCAGTCAGGGAGGGGCCCCACGCTCAAGGAGCTGATGGTGTAGGCAGGAGAGGTCATTACAATCCAGTGGGGAGGGGACTGCAGGAGAGTGAGCAGCTAGGGGACTGTGGAGTCTGGGAGGACCAAGGAAGGTGGCCTCTATGCTCGAAGGACTTGAAGGAAAAGCAGGAGTCAGCCAGGTAAAGGTGAGGGAAGGCACGTGGGAGCGGGGTAAAGGCAAGAGGACTTCAGGTAAGAACAACATAGTAAAGGCCTATAGGTGATCGAATCTCAAGTTAAATCATTAAAACTGGAAAATCACGTAAGTCTTACATGTGCTTTACTCTGGGTTACTATGAGAATCAGATCAAACAAAATCCAGCTTTCTGCTTCCTCTGGGCAGAGCTCTTGGGCCCTTGGCTACCTGGCAAATCCTCCACTTACCCTGTGACCAGGGGACAGCTGGCAGCCTCCATACAAACCATCAGTGAAGTGTCTAAGATAGAAATGACCTTGACGTTATAGTGCCTGGTGATATTGTGCATGCTTGAACTAAATTCTAACAATCAGAAGGCAACTTATTTTTACATTTCCAGTCAGAGTTTTGCTAGAATTCTGCAAAAGCCTCTTTCTAATGTCTCAGTTTTCTTTTTCTTTCACTGACGTTTTGATCTTAATAATCTCTTGCACCTATATAGATATGATAGTACTATATGTTTGTGTGTCTGTATATCTACACACACAAACACACACACACCTATTGGGTTCACATCTCAGCTCTATCTCACACTGAGTTTGTGAATGAACTTTCAGATGCTGTTTTCCTGAAAAATAGGGATATGATGATGCTCACTTTGGAGGGTGTTCAGGGTTACATGGGATCTTGTTTCTAAAGAGCTCAGCGCAGTGCCTGGCACCATGTTAGCTTTGAATAAATGGTAGCTATTATGTGCATGGGAAAAAAAAAAAAAGACTGTCCTAACATGTTGGCAGCATTTATCTCTGGTGGGTGGGATTATGGTTACAATGAACATCTATTAATTTTGTAATCAGACAAAAAGAACAATAAATATTATTATTAATTTAAAAATCTGGCTTTGGCTTTGTTGGAAGGAACCTGCAGTTAATGGCAGTGTTGTTACCAGTCAAGTAAGACAAGGCCTCCAGTTTTATACCAGAACCTTTAAAGAAAGACACCACCTCTACCTCCAATCAAATAATAGGGACTATAACAAAGGGAGATACTTGGTCATGAATCTAGAGAAATTTCGACCTCATCCAACCTTGCAGTCCTCTTGACCACTGCTGTCTGGAGGGCAGGCAGGGGCATTCAGAGAAAGTAACTCAGATTATGGCATTCTCTCGCATTGGGAGGGTTATCTGCGGTTCTTAGCTAGAACCCTCTAACTCTCCAGGGAACCATTCCAGGAGAATGACATTTATCCTCCACTGGGCCTTCACTTAGGCATCTCTATTAGAAAATGAAACACACACTAGCCCACTTCCAGTAGGGGGGCTGTGAGTGGCCTGGCCCGGCGTCCAGAATCATCTGAGGCCCAGAACCTTGGCTCTGTCTGGCTGAGATGCTAGACCACCAGCCCAATGTCTGGGCAGCAGGCAGCAGGAGATAGAACCTCCTGGAGCTACGCGACCCTCTTCAGTCCTCTCTTTGCTCCTCCTGGGCCAAGCAGGAAGGGGCAGAGCACCCACCCTCCTCAGATTATCTGCAGAACCATCAGCCTGCCCTGGGCTGGCTTCTGAGCTTCTTTCTTTCTCCTCCTTCCGCACCCTGGAGGGGGAATCTTGCTACTGACTCCAGAGTAAAATGCCGCCTCTGTTTGGGAGACAAAGAACAGAGTGGCTCCTCCGGGTCAGCTGCCTCTCCTTGGCTGGCGGGCTCCCTGGCCTCCCCTAGGCATCTCTGAGGGCCTTCGGGCTCTGCCCTGGGCACTGCTGCACTCTGAACTGTTTTCACTGGAGCTGAAAGGAATATTTTACCTTAAAAAATCCCAAGCACTTTTTCTGCTCTGGAAGATATTAACTTGCCTGGGGGGAGGTGAGGGCCATGGGGGTGCCACGGCTGGAGAGACAGCCAGGCTTCTGTAGTCCTACTAGATAGAGCTAGTGAGAGCATGTGTGTGGAAACATGTGATAATATGTGAAAGTGCATGTGTGTGCACACTGAGAGTGTAAGAGCATGCGTGAAACTGTGTACTGGGGTTTAAAAGAATGTGTATACTAGAGTGTGAGGCAAGGAGTCGCAGAGCATGTGAGAGACTGAACATGTGGAAGTGTGTGCGTGTACTAAGGAGCGTGTGGGAAAGCCTGCATGCTGTACGATGTGAATGCACGTGTGAATGTGAAAGTGTATACGTGTACTAGCTAGAGTAAGAGCGTGTGTGAAAGCAGGTGCGTGTCAAGAAAACCTGTACTAGAGTTTGTGTGTGAAGGGCAGTGAGGAGACACATGTAAGTGTATGTGTGAATACTAACTAGTGCGCCTGAAAGTTTTGTGCTAGGGTTTGAGGATGTGCGTATTAGCATAAGTTGAAGAGCAAAAGTACGCATGGACGAAGTATGCATGGGAATGTGTCCGTGTGTACTAATTAGAGCATGTGTGAAGGATGTGTGTACTCGTGTATGAGAGTCTGTGCACAGAAGCATGAGCACGTATGACATGCGTAGGCTCCGGTGGGCGAGCGCGCACGTGTGCATTAGCATGTGCGGGTTGAAGGAAGCCGGTCTGGGCGGAGCACCGGCGGCCTCGGAGTGGGCAGCCCTGCGTGTGCGTGTCTGAGTGCGCGCGTGAGAGTGTGCAGGAGCGCGCGCGCGCGCGCGCCACCGCCGCCGCCCCCTGCTGGGTTCGAGCCGGTTGCCATGGGAACGCGCCGCGGCCCGAGTTAATCATTTCCTGTGGAAAGTGTGCGGGAGGGGCGGAGCGGGGCGGGCCAAGGAGGCAGCGGCGTGGAGCTGCCTCCTGCCCGCTGGCCGGGCCGGGCCGAGCGCCCGGCGCTGCAGCTACGCCGGGATCCTGCCTCCGCCAGGCGGGTGAGTCGGGGGCCCGGACCAGCGGACGAGCTGGGGGTGGGCTGGGTGCTCGGGGTCCTCCCGGCCCACTGTTCGGGGCGCCGCGTCTGGGCCCACCCTGCCCGCGGGACCCCCTGACCGGACCCGCTGAGGGGCGCAGGAAGGGCCCGGCCCCAGAGACTCAGCCCTGCGCGGTTCCCTGCCGTCCCCCTCGCAGACCAGCCGGAGCCGAGGACCTTGCCCAGAACAGGGCACGGGGTGGCAGGCACGTCTCCTAGCATTGGAGCAGCCTCGGGACCTCCGTTCCGATTTCATTGGCCCGGAAAGCAAGACCCTACCGGGAACCGCATGGCCGTCAGTGAGGCCCCCTCCCCTTGCGGAGGCCCCCTGCGCACCCATGGCTCCTTTGACGACTGCAGTTTCAGGCCCTCCCACCACATACATTCCCTGGGCAGTTCGCTCTCCCCCTCGCAGGGCCAGGGGTGCGGTGGGCCAGCCCAGAGGTTAGGACGGAGGGCCTGGGCAGGTGCCCTTCTGGGCAGTGGGGTAACTGAGTGATTGATAGCGGCTGATAGCGGCAGCCTGGGGCGGGGGTCCCAGAAGGAAGAGAGAGCCAGAAGCCACCTCCTTTAACCCCCCAGTTGTGAGTTAGAGCAGAACTCTGGTGCAGTGAAGGGCCTGGTCCTGGGAGATTTTAAAGAGGAAGCTGTTTAAATACTCGAGTACTCCCCCAACCTCCAACACTGATGTCTCCAGGTTGTGGGTGGTGGCCACCCCTGGCCTTTCACATTCCCCAGCTCTCCCTCAGTTTGAGGCTGGGTGAGCACCTCTCCTTGCCCAGGTATATTCCCCATGCCCTTGATAAAGTAGCTGTCTCCTTGACCAGGCAGAGGCTTTTGCAAGGAATGCATTCTCAGAATGGGGCCCTGTGTTTTCAGTGACTGGACTTGAGGAACATAGGGTGATGAGTTCTGCTGTCCTTATGGGCACTAGGGAGCAGAGGTTTTGAACTCTGGGTTGTCCTGGAAAACCCAGGCTATGTGACTGTGTGTAGGGGAGGTCCGAGCTCCTGTCCAACTGCCTGACCTTCTCCCTGACCTCCCAGGGAGACTAAGCCCTCCCCAGCAGCAGTCTCTGGGCAGTTGTCAGGCCTGTCCGTCAATCACTACAGTATCACTGGTCTGGGGGGAAGGGGGCTGCAGCTCTGCTGCTATGGCCTGAATCCCAAGAGACAGTGCCCCTCTCCCAAAACCAGCCTCTCTGCATTCACCCACCCCTGGAGGGAGAGCCCTGAAAAATAAATTTTTTGAGGTCTTTGTATATGCTAATATTGTTCTGAACACTTTATATATGCATTGTCCAATCCTTATACCAACCCCCTAAGATACAGTTCTCCCCAATTTCAGATGCAGATAATGAGGCACAGAGAGTCAAAGTAATTCTCCCAAGGTCACTCATCTAGTAAGTGGCAGAGCCGGGTTTTGAACCAGCTTTTGGTCACAGCCACTGCAATACAGTATCCCCATTGCCCTACCCCAGGAGTCCTAGGCTGGTAGCAGCCATAGCCTTGAGCTAATGTGAGTCCTTGATAATTTTGACCTGCACACTCCCCTCTGCTAAATTCAGCTGCTTTTTCCTCTTCAGGATCTTGCATACACCCTTCCTCTTTCTTCCTGATACCATCCTGGCTGTCTCCCGGACTTCCCTTCCAGAAAGCCACAAAAAAATTGTCTCTTCCTGTCCCTGCCCCTCAGACTTAGCTGATCTCCTTAAACGTCTTTTCCCTCAACTGTGGAATTGACCTTGAATGCCCTGCCTGGCATGCAGGTGGAGCCCATCTCTCTCTCTCCTTGCCCGTCGGGCAGCTGGTCAACAGGCTTGTGTGCCCATCTCTGTGCCAAATAGCCTGGAGAAGAGGACGTCTGGCTGCTCGCCGTGGTTCCTTCAACTCCACACTTTCCCTTCTCCAGTTCCGCAGTGGAGCCGGCCCACATACTTGGATTAACCTCTGCCCCATTCTTTGGCCCACAGTCTTACCCCTGTCCCAGTGAGACTGCACCTGGGAGCCTCCTCTTTGAAGTTATCTTCCTCAGTCAAGGAAGGCAGAGACCATGAGTCCCTAGACAGGAGCCTGGCATTCTTCCAGGGCTCAGCTCCGTGAACATTGGTCACCGGATCTTCAGGCCACCTGTCCCTGCACTCTTACTTCTTTTGCCTCTCGATGCTGCAATCATTCTTTTCCTTCTGTCGACCTAAGATGCTCCAATCTCTCCTAAATACCACGTCTGCTCAGTTCATCTTCTCCTTCCCACCCTAGCCAAACTTCCCAAAGAGAAGGAAGTGGCGGCTTCCTGAACCTCCCGCCCACCCCTTGGTTTTGCCCTCTGTTTTGCTCCCCAGATATTCTCCCTTAAAGAGCCCTCAGGGGCTTTCTTCCAGTTTGACCTCTCTGTGGCATGGTTCACTCACTGGTCGCCTCTGAGGACTGTGCACCTGCCTGGTGCTCCTTTCACCTTGTTCTCCAGCTTTCCTTCTCACCCGGAGTGAACTCTGTCCTCCCTGGTTGCCTCTCGTCTTGCACGACCTTTGGTGATTGCATCCTCCCCTGTGAAATAATGGCCTCCCAGCTCTGAGTCTCCATCTCCATCCCTGCTCTCTTCCAAGTTTCAGCCTGAGCCTTGGCATTCGTTCATTTCAGGACATTCAGCCAACAAGCCATTGCTGAGTGTTTGGTGTGAATGTAGCTGCAACTCCAGGTTGGGTGTTGTGGGCTTCAAAGATGAACATTCTGTGAGCTCCGCCCTGGGGAACCATAGAGGGTCAGGGGAGATGGACACTGTTCAGACAGATCTCTTCACTGCCTGGTGGAAAGCAATCAGTGCAATGAGGGATGGAATAGGTGGTCTTTAGCCTAGGTAGCACCATTAGAAGTCCTTGGGTATCTTCAACTCCATTTTGAAGCCAAAAGCAAACTCCATGTCACCTCTCTGAGATGACTGGGCTTCTTCTGTAAATTGCATCACTGTCCAAGTCTAGGACTATAGCTTGGTCACCATAAAAGCCCTCAAGGCTGCTTTGCACACATAGGTGCTCAATAAAGAGATGTGCACTGAATGCTGGGAGTCTGTTATGTTGATTTACTCAGTTTATAAGGGACCTATAGGCTTTGCATCTAGACCACCCCCATTTCCCCACAGCTCCTGGTGCCTCCCTGCAGCCTGTTTGACTGTGAAAGTGTGTTGAAGTATTCACCTTCCTCCTCACAGGGAGCTTTGAGGATATGTTTCTCCTGATCAAATAGGACCCCTGGCAGGTGCTTGGCACACAGCAGGCACTGGATAAATAATAATTAAATGAAGAATTTAATTTGTATTTCAATGTCTAGCTGGTTGCCTGCCATGTTGTAAGACCAGAGTAAAGCTAGTTTGAATACATGAATGAACTGACTTGAAGAGAATTTGATATATGTGGGGCTGTGACCTGGCGTGTCTTCAGGCTTCCAGGCTCCAGCTGGAGGGGTTGAGATGTGGGGTTTCTACATTTTGCTGCAGACACACCTGATCAGCTCCTTGCGCACTTCTGAACCTCCCTACTTGGTAACACGCACAAGCACCCTGAAACGGTGACAGGCCCCGTTTCTTCCCGTGAGCCCCCGGGATCCTTGGGGAACAGTGGAGTTGGGACATACCCTCTAGATGTCTGCTCCCATCTGCCAGTGCGGGCCAGTGGTCTTCAATCTCATCTCCCCTTGCTCTCTCCGCAGGCTGCCGGGCTCCGGGAGGAGGCCGCTGAGCCCCAGGCCATGGTCCAGTCTCGCCGGACCTGGAACCTGGGAGCCACGCCCTCGCTGCGCGGCCTGTGGAGAGTGGGCCGGGCCCCGGAGCCCGAGCTGGGGATGGCTCGCCCCGCCCCGGCCAGCCCTGCCGCCCGCCCTTTCCCACACACCGGCCCGGGGAGGTTGAGAACTGGTGAGTCCGCATTTTTAAAATGCCTCTTTATTTCTCTTCCTTCCTCCAGATACCAGACATGAGAGCGAGGTTTCTCGCAAGTTCCTAGGCTCAGTCAGAGCTGTCAGGTAAATTACAGGGTCCGGCAGCCCGCCGAGCGGGGCGTGGAGGCAGGGCGTCAATCTCGCTGGGGCTGCTGCCCCGCGCTGTCTGTACAGAGAAGTCGCGGACGCTGAGTTAAACTTGAACGCAGTCCCGAAAGCAGGGGGAGCACGCCGCCCACAGCCACGCGGTCCCAGCCCAGCCGGGTCGCTGTGGCTCCGCGGTCCGCTGGTCCTTGGCGGAGTAGTGGGGTTTCCCTGGGTTCCTATCCGCGGCTGTAAACAAGGTAGGTAAAGTGGCTGCCTGGCGCCCTGCGCGCCACTGACACTTGATCCCGTCTGGGCTGGCCCGCGGATGGCGGGAGGAGTGGACTGAGGCTACTCCGGAGGGAGGCCTGGCGGCGTTTGGGTGCCGTACGCCCCGTTTTAGGTGTCATCCAGGGCGGCTTCTGCAGGGGCCCGGACGGCAGGTGGGCAGTGAAGGAGTCCCAGAGTCTGGGCCCCCCGCTAACCCCCTGGGGAAGCTGTCAACACCAGCTCTCCTTTCTGGGTCATGTCCCCTGGTACCTCCAACATCAAGAAGCGAGCCGTAACTCGGATTCTGGGTTGGGGCTGGATTGTCTGGCTTGTCAGGGCTGGGAGCTGCTCGTGACCCTCTTCCAAGCTGGACTTGGGCAGGTTATCCTGGAAGTGTCAAGAGAGGGAGATGTCTTCAGGCAAGAGGCCTTCAGGTGTTTGCTGTCTTTTGATCTTGACCTACAGGGTGACGGGTTTAGGGTACCAGCCTGTGGGAGTAGCAGAATCCCTCCAGGCCATCAGGTCCAAGCCCCTCAATGTACAGAGGGGAAAACTGAGGGCCCAGAGAGGGCACACAGCAAACTCCTTTTGGGTTCCGTCTCTCCTACCACATTTGTGCCGTCAGTGGCAGCCACAGTGATGCCCTTCAAGGTCTCTCTGCAGCGGACAGTGAGGCTGGGGGGGCCTCCAGGTAAAGCTTGTGCTTTGGGGTCAGGTAGCCCCAGTTGTCTGGAAGGGGCTGAAGATGGTCTCTATCCCACAAGGGTGTCCTAAGGATTACACATGCACAAGCATGGCTTTTCTGGGGAAGGAAGGAAGGGGCAAAAAACAAAAACATGTTCACTTGAAAAATGAAAACCCAAAAACCTAAAACCAAAAACACAGAAAAGTAAAAAAGGAAAATAAAAATCACCTACAGGCCTACCTTGGAGATACTGCGGGTTTGGTTCCAGACCACCGCAATGAAGTGAGTATTGCAATGAAGTGAGTCATAATGTTTTGGCTGAAGGAGGGTCTTGCCTTCAATTAAAAAAAACCAAAAATTCAATATCTGGAGTGCAATAAAGTGAAGAGCAATAAAACAATGCCTATATAAGCAAGTCGCTAAACATTTTATATAGTTCCTTCCAGCCTTGTGTGTACGTGCATGTGTGTGTGCATATAGGTCTATCAATTGAGTGTTATGAGGATTATGTGACTTATACAGACTTTTATCTACTTTTAAAATTTAAGACAAAGGTCAAATGAAACTGTGTGAAATGCTAAGCACGGTGGCAGCCACTGGGTAGGGTGTCAGCCAACTTAGTTGCCCCCAGGCCCCTCAGCCCCCACCTTTCTGGGTACCTGGTACTATGGGAGCACTTTTATGTGTCACCCATTTTGTCCTTACCCCCGGACTGTGAGTTTGGTTCCTTATCCCTATTTTATTGCCAAGGACACTGAGTATCGAGAAAGGCGTTAAGGCCTGGGGAGCGCTTGGCCCATGGCTGGCACTCAGCATATCATCACAAACCAGGGTGGTGGCTCTGCTCTTTCTACCTGTGAGGCGAGCCCCTGCCCCCACCTCCTCTGGCTCCACAGGCTGTGGTGGGGGGTTGAGGTGGGGTGGATGGGGTGTTGATGCCACAGTCAGCCATCTCCCCCACCCAGTGAGAGAGGCAGTGTGTCAGAGGCATGAGGGGATGCACTTTAGTTGGTCCTGAATATGTGTTTGGAGGCTGCAGGGACCAGGCCACCCAGCGGTAGAGTTGGTCTCAATGAAGTCAGGGGAGAAATTGCCACCTAGAGGCAGCCTGGGTAATAAAACTACGGCCCGGGGTGCACCTCCTCTGATGATTAGCACTGCCAGGTTGGCATCTCTTCTGCTCTCTGCAGAGGGTGCTTATGAGCAAGCGCCAGCCCCCAAAGCCACCATGGAGGGAGGGGAGCCCCCACGGGGACTTGGGTGCCCTCCCGTAGAGAATCTCAGGGTGGCTTTTGGCAAGCAAGGAGCCAAGCCTTCCCTCCCTGCAGAACAGGCGTGTGAGAGCATGTGCGTCCCTCCTGAATGCACCTGGGTTGGCTGGAATGTGCTCAAGCCAAGTTCAGCCATGGCGCTGCCCAGTGTTCCGTGACCCATGGTCTGAGTGTCTCATCTATCTTTTCTCTTCTGGGATAGGACGTGGAAAAGACACCCCGGCCTGCGGTGACGAGGACTCTGGTGCCCGAAGTACAGCTCGCCCAGCCCTAGCTCAGTGCCGAGCCCTCAGTGTGGACAGCACTGGCCCTGGGAGCCCCCGCAGGCTCTACCTGAACGTGCAGGTAAGCACAGGACCTTCAAAAACATGAGGGGTCCAGCTGGGTGCCCGACAGGCTCCTCTGGGGGCGGAAGCACCGAGGGACAGCTTGATACCTGTTTTGTGCCTCTTTGCCAAGCAGCACATCTGCCTGTGAGCCAGCATGGATGGAGCAATTTGCTTTATTAGTTATCGTGGGGAAAATCTCACAGGAGATGACAGAAGTTTTTCAGCCACACCCTGGCTGAAGTGTTAAAATGGGAAACGTAGGGCCTTTTCTGAGACGCTGTTAGGAAAACGGGCAGTTTTTAAGGTAGCTATTTATTCTCGCTCGGGCGTGTGGGATAATACTTGTATTTCCACATTTAAAGAGGAAATCCAAAGCTAGACAGAGGGCTCCACCAAAACTTGGGTTCTTGTCTCTTGCTGTTATCACCATGATTTTCAAAAGACAAACTTTACATACATATGTATACCTAATGATAGCATTAATAGTAGCTATAATTTATCGAACACTGATTTTGTGTCAGGCACCATGTATTATATATCTCACATTAGTCCTCATAACAGTCTCAAGGCACAGTTACTGTTCTATCTGAGTTTTATGGATGAAGTAATGGAGGCTCAGAGAGGTTAAGTAATTTGCTATTGGTCGCACAGCAAGCTAGGATCTGAACCACTAAACATGACAAGCTTTATAACACATTATATAAAGAATTCACACAGGGCAGAGATGTAATACCTAAAAACTGAATGCCACCTGTATTTTAGAGAAATCCGCTATTAAGAGTTTGGTGTTTATTTATCTTTCCACTTAATTTATACAATCTTTATTATTTATTTTCATATACAATTCTGTGGCTAGCTCTTTCCCTCAATAGTAAATCTTGGTGATTTCTTCATGTATGTCAATATATAAACATTCTTTTAAACTACTGCATGATATTCCACTTTTTACCATGAATTTTCTAACTGATCCCCTGTATTATTTCTGATTGCGATGAGCTCCTTAAAGATTTATGCAATTCATACAGCTATAACATTGTAATTTCAGGACCGCACAGGCTTGGCAATTTTTAAATGAATGCATTTGTTAACATATATTTATGAAGTGCCAACTCTGTGCCAGGGGCTGTGCTAGGTGCTGACACACAGCAAAGAAGAGATAAAGACCTGACAGTCTAGGGGAGGTGCCAGAGTAATCAAATGATCACAAACGTCTGAATGCAAACCGGACAAGGGCCACCGATGGCTGTGGCCGAAGACGAAGGACTAGCGTTATCAGGGCATGCTGCCAAGGCCCGCCCCCTTTCCCCCAAGAAAGATTGTGTATGAGAGGGCCCACCTTGAAGGGACAGGTGCAAATAGAGGGCAGGATGGAGTGTGGGAAGCACACGTGCCCTTTGAGCATGTCCTCCCTCGTGCAGACAAAAGTCCTGGGCCCAGGGCGGCGCGTGGGCCAAGTCCTGATCTGACCACGGGCCCAGGACTTGATGTTACTTCAGAGATGGTCTTGGGCTTCTTGTTTGGTTCATCTGAAAATTGAACCAAACGGTCCTTCTTTCAGTAAGTTCTGTGAGAAAAGCAGGTCTGGTGCAAGAACAGTTAAACCAGAGAACCCATTTTTTTCTCTGACTTGAGCCATTGGTAGTTAAATCAGGAGACGGTCAGAAACCAGCTGCCCTCAGCTGGGTGGTGGCTCTGTTCTTGAGTTTTGATTATGGGGTGTTGTGTTGTGGTTGCAGCCTAGTCCTGGGGTCAGCACATCTGCTGCAGATCTCTGAGAAGCTCCAGCCAGCAACGAGTTTCCATGATCGTGTCCTTCTGGGCCCCACAAGGCTTTATTATATTTATTGGTGCCTCGAGGTTGGGGATGAGGGGCCAAAGTAAGGACCCAGGCACAGTGAAGGGACTCTGTAGGCTTAGTGACCCTCCCTGCCAGCCTCTCAAGCAGCTTAAACCTGAGACGGTCCCTATGGCACAGCAAAAATTCCCAACCCCCCCAGGGGCCTGTCTGCCCTTCCTGTGGCTTGGCCAACAGGCCAGAAATAGCGTAACCTTTGCTCTGGTCGGCACATGGAAACTTCCAGCGGCCACCGTTGCTGCCACCAGTGACAGGCCTGCTTGTGATGGTGTGGCAGTTGGTTAAAGAGTGGGGACAAAATAAAGTTGGCAGAATTTTCCTAAAAAATAAAGAGATGGGCTCCCCACCCTCCCTTCTCACGTAGAACCTGGGCTCGAGAGAGGGAAGGAGTGGATTACAGACTAACTAGTCTGGTGACATTGCTTTTTGCCCCTTTTGAATTCTCTTTATTGGCTTTTTGATGATCAAAATTAAAAAATCTGGAAGACCACAGAAATAACGTAATGCTAATGGCTACCTGGTGTGGAGCGCTTACTATGCGCCAGACACTGAGGATTTTGCCGACGTTACCACAGTTACTCTTCACACCAGCTCCACGAGGTGGGTGGTTATTATCGTTTCTGTTTTCAAAATGGGGAAAATAAAGCTGCAGGTAAGTCACTTGCCCAGAGTCGCACGGCTCACAAGAGGCAAAGCCAGGCTTCACACCCAGGCCTCTCTGACTCTAGGCTTGCAGCATTTTTTAAAACATAGCATTTGTCTCTTTGCTTTGAATATGGTGGGCACAAAGACACAACAACACATGTCTGTAATCTCTCCTCCCAGATAACTTCTGTCGATGTTAAGAAACAAAACAGAACACTGTAGATGTTTACAGGGTTAAAAACGCAAACACCGGCAAGGTTCAACATGAAATGAAAAGCCGCCTTTCCCTTCTTCCCACATTCTCTCTGGGAAGTTTCTTTTTATTCTCAGAAAAGTTTAAATGATGCATGTTTCTTCTCATACGCACTGCACCATCAACCCAACCTCCCAGAGGGAACTATTGTCTTTATATTTCCCTAGATTCTTTTTCAAGACATATTTTATTTCCATTATCCTGGAATGGGATCACACTTTGTATGTGGTTCTTGCCTTGGACGTCTTTCTGTGTGAGCTGCAGGTGATTTTCTCAGGATGAAAGGCGCTTTCTGCCTCTCCCTTCTCTCTCCCTGCCTGGCTACCAGTCTGCTCTACCTCAGTCTCCTTTGCCTGGGTTCCTTCTTGGCCAGGAGACAGGGTCCCGTGGTCCCTGGATAGCCATGGTGGGGTGGGCCATGGCTTGCCTCTGCGTGTATGGGCCCACATGCCCGCTCCTTGGCAGCCCCAGGCTGGTGCCATTTGGAGGTGGGGGTAGTTGCCCTGAGATCGCCATGTGTCCGGAGGGCTGGACAGGCCTGTGAATAGGGGCTGTGAGCCTGGCACTGGTGATTCATGGCCCGTGGGGCCCACAGGATGCCAGAGTGGCTTTTACCTGAGGATTTCTAAGTGCCCAAGAACCTTTTTGGCTGGTGGAGAGGGCTGGCTACTGATAGGGGCCAGGGGAACACAGTGCCACTGTCTTGTCGTAGGATCTGGGCACGTTTTCTTCCAGTCTCGGGGCCTCCGTGTCCCCCACCAACCCACACAGTGAGGGATGGGTGCACTGGGCCCGTGGTCTTTGCCAGCTCCAGGCGTGCACCATCCTCAGGCTCAAGGGAGTCCCTCCCCGCTGCAGTCCCCTTCATGAGGATTCTGGTTGTGTCTTGGCCGCAGGCCCTGCAGGACAAGGGGTTCAAGAGCAAGAGTCAGGGGACGAAAGAAGAGAAGCTCCTGAAGAGGCAGGCGCCGGCCCCCAGGCGGGACCGGGAGGCCCAGGAAGCTGGTGGCACCATGAATATAGAGAAAACAGGTAAAGGAGGTCTGCCCACCAACCTGGAACAGCCCTAGCTAAAGCTGGAGCTGGAGGGGAGGCTCTCGTGGCATCTGAGTTCTCCCTACACACTGTCCTTCTCACCTGGAGGTGGTCCATCCAAACCTTGGATGCCTTGACGTAGAATCCAGAGACCCCAGACTACCCATTCCTACTTTTGGGACACCCTCCTCCCGGTGCTACCTGGGCCCCACTTGGTGATAAGAGGCTTTTGCTAGCATGGACTAACGTCGAATTTCCCTGCTTTTTGTCAAAAACAGGGTGAGGGTGGCAGCCTCGAATACTCTACCACTGCAGAGAGAGGCCACTTCCCCTGTATCCATGGGCCCACTGGGGGCCCAGAGACCCTAGGACAGGGCTCCACTCTTCCCTAGCAAAGCTGACTGGTTCTGGAAGATTCTACAGGCTTCCTTTGTGGGATTCCCCAGTGGGAAGCTGTGGTAATTGGAATGGCGCATTCTCAGGGAGCCTAAGCGGAAAGTTAGTGGCGGTGTATGGAAAAAAGGAGCTGGTCTTTCTCTTGCTTTCCTCCTTCTGTCACCAGAGTTTGATGTGTGTGTCTGAGCTTGCCGGGAGGTGGAAGGGTCCGCTCCCTTCCCCGAGGTTGTGCCAGAGCCGCATTCGCCCACATTCAGCAGCAGGTCTTGGAGTCTGGCTGAGCTGTGGGCAGGCAGGCCTTGGGAAGGGGGGCGTTGTCCAGCCAGTCGGGTGGGCTCTCCTACTTTGCCAAGAGGAGAGAGGCCAGTTCCAGTCAAGAGTGAGGACTGACTTGTCATCAGGGCCAGCGCCGGGCCTCAGTCTCCCTGAGCCTGAGTGCCCGTGAGGGGGCCGTGCCCAGGCAGGGTCTCCGAGGCACATGCTCTTTTTGAAAACTTGCACTCACGACTGACCTACTAAGAGATGTGCAGCTCCCTCCATGCAAGGGCCTGTCCAGTCGCTTTTCCCCAAGTTCGCCTTCGATGTCACCTCTCCCGCCTTCCTCCTATCCCCCTTAGCTTCTTCAAGGTGTTTTCTCCCCCAGCAAGCACTCTTCAGGCCCATGAACACTGTGCTGAGGTCAGGAGGAACACCGCTGGGAGTGCGCTCTGAGGGTGTCTCAGAACATCCTTTGATTCGAGGGGTGTCCCAGATGACAAGGCCTATTCCATGTCCTGTTGGGTAGCACTCACTCACACCTGCTCATCTAACATGATGCCCAGTCTCCTGAACCAAAGGCGCCTCTTTGGGCAAGGACCGTTGACCCCATTTCACAAAGGAAGACCCTGAGGGGTCCCTCCCATGTCTTTTCAGGGGCAGAAGCAGCTCTTGGACTTGGAGTGCAGTGCATTCCCTCCTACCCACAGCAGTCTGCAAAGGGCTGAGGGCTGTGCTGGTCACATGCTGCCCGTGGCAGCCCCGTGTGCAAGCCTGGAAGCATCCATGTGACCTCACTCTCTCTGGAACGGATAGCAGAAGCTTGGCCAACTGTGTGTGAAACACACACTGTGTCATGTGCAGGCCACATGGGCCACTAGCCAACCAGTGACTGCCCCTGCTTCAGCTCTGTAGAGGGTCTTGAGTTGAAGCTGTCCTGAGGGGTTGGGAGGAAGGGAAAAGCCAGCCTGTGTGTCCTTTGCCAGCTCTCTTTAGACTGGGAACATGGGGCTTCTCATCTTCTACCCCTCCTGGGGACAGTGCTGAGATTTCCTGGTCCGGTCTAGCCCGGAACAAGCCCCCTTCACACCTGCCTGCTCTAGCCCCGTCCAAAAGCCAGGTTGCATTGTGGCTTTTCCAGTCTCAGTGAGCACACTTGCTGCCTCCTGTGGGTTGAAGCTGCTAGCGGGGTGTGTGACTTCAGGTTCAGGTGGCTTTCTTCACAAAGACTGGGGGCCCCCCCAGTCCTGCCCACACAGGGCTGCAGCTCCGGGGACCTATTGTGGGGGACCCCAGAAGCCTTGGTGCTCCCAGGTAGAGGGGAGGCTTGCGGCCAGCTGATGGCCGCTCTTCCTGCGTACCTCTTGGACACCTTGCTCTTGGATACTTCCTTCCGCCTCTGGGAGCTCTGGCCAGGACTGATGGAGTTGCCTAAGGGGAGAGGCAAATCCCCTGCCTTCCACCCTCTCCTCTTCCCTTGTCTCCCTCCTCCCAAACCTTTTGCCCGCTCCCCACCTGCAGAAACTGTGGCCGTTTTCAGTGCCCTTGAAGCAAGCTTTGAGAGGCCTCCCAGGCCCCATTAGCGGGTCACAGGCCTTGACTCTGTGTCTTTGTCCTTCTGTCCGTCTGTCTCTCTCCTGCTCCTGGTGACAGGACAGTGGAAGGTGGTGGCAGGAGGACTCAGGCAGCGTCAGCCCGCCCCGGTCCCTTCTTCCTTCTGCCCGCGCTGTCCCTGTGTTCAGTCCCGCCCAGCGAAGGCGCTGCCCTGAGCAGGCCTGTGTGTCTTTCTGCCCACGTACTGTGTCTGTGTCTGTGTCCTGGTCTGTTGGTCTGTCCTTTGCACACGCATACTCTCCCCTTGCGCCCTCTCTGTGTGCAGGTGACCATTCCCTGTGAAGGGCAGGGGGCCGGCTGGAGCGCCCCCGCCTCTCCTCTCTACTCTGGAGAGGGTTTGGGGTTAAAGAAACCATGTTCCCCCAAGAATAGTGTTTTCCAGGGAGAGAGCCCTGAGTCCTCAGCTGCTGCCAGGAGGCATGTCTTTCTCAGTGGCGATGCTTTGCAGGCTGGCCATGGAGAGGGTATTGTCCTTCAGACCTAGAATCCGTGCTTTGAGGGGAGTACTCAGTGAAAGTTGCCTTCCTAGGTCCCGATCCAGGCAATTCCATTCCCCAGAAGCTGCCTGCTGAGGTGGCTTCCTTCGAGGCAGACCCTGGAGGCCCCTGGCACTTGCTGCTGCTGCTGTTGCTGCCCACAGCCCTCGCCCCGCTCCTTGTCCCTCTGCTTGCAGTCCCTCCCCGTCCTGTTGGGTAACACTAACCACATGGTCTGCGCTGCCTTGACAGGCCCCTTGGCCGGGATGGGACCTCTGCTGCCCTGCTGATTGGCCACTACTTTGCTCATAGGTGGGCGTCTGTTTGGCAGCGGGAGGTGCTCGAGCCTTTCGGGGCCCCCAGGTGCGGCCCCTGTGGTGCATAGGATGGTGGAGGCCATGTCCCAGCTACAGGAGGACAAAGTCCGGCTGCAGGAGGAGCTGGCGGCCCTACGGGAGAGGCTGGCCCTCCGCGACAGTGACCAGACAACCACATCTATCCAGCTGCAGAACCAGGTACCTGGGGAGGATGGGACGGGCAGAGGCCACTGCCCACCATGGAGCAGGTCAGAGGACATCACTCAGTTCACCTGGAAACCACAGACCACCAGCATAATAGACAGATGGGGTCTCTTCTCAGCTCGGGAATGCATGAGAGGGCGAGAGGGCGAGAATCGGAGGCCTGGACCTCCCATTCTGGGCATCTTTGTGCGCCACTCCTCATGGTTGCCAGGGGCCAGGACCTGCCTCTACAGAGTGACAGGCAGCACGTGTAGATGTGAGTGGAGCAGGAAGGTGCAGGGACTCTTTCTGCCCCGAGTCTATACCCCATCTTCCTGGTGCCCTGGACTGGGCAGCTCGAGTGGACAAAAGAAGTTGCAGAGATCACCCCATAGAAAACCGGCAGGAAAAGAGAGACTGGTGTGAATGCATGTGGGAGGGGGGTGTCAAGGAGGCAGGGAGAGCTGGAGGTTATCCTGTGAACATTGCTGCCTTCATTGGCTGGCCAAGAGGACACTTGAGAACTCAGCCCCTGAGCTGCACGCACCGTGAGGCTGACCACTGGCTCTCCTCTGCGTGCCTGGCTGCACTGCCCTCTCCTTCCCCATCTCCACGTGGACCCTGACACCCCCTTTCCTTGGGCTCAGCTCCTCACTCCCATTGTTGTGTCTGTCTCTTGTGCTTATGTTTAACCCTCCCCCACTTCCCCAAGGTCCCCAACCCTGTGTGCCCCTTCGTGCCACATTGGATCGCTGCTTAAGCTCTGGACTTGGTCTGTGGAAAGCCCTGCCTTCGGGTGGAGCCATGTTCTTTCTCCGTAATGACACAGCATGTGGCCTTTGTCTTGAGGGAACATCACTGAATACTTTAACTTGTCCTCAGTTCCGGGGGCATCAGATTATTTTTATGTACTTTTTAAATGCAGCATTTTTTCTAGTTTACAGGTGTGCCCTCTTCTCAAGAACTAGCTGTGCTGACCACTGTTAGCCCCTTGCCAAGTCAGGCGGCTCTCCTTCGGGCATCCCTAGTGTCCTGTGTCTCTCTCTTATGCGCTGACCCTATTGTCTGCTGCCTCTGGGCTGGTCTGTACCACTCATGGTGGCTCCCGTAAGGCAGGGTGTGACAAGCAGCTTTGTATCACTACTGCCTCCTGCAGTGCCCACCTGCCTTCCTCCCGCAGATGTTTGCTGGATGTCTGGTATGTACAGGCACTGCGTGCAGCGCTGGGGGTGCCCGAGGGACAGGCACGCCCTGGCCTGTGGAGGCTGCAGTCTGGGGGAGAACAGACATTAGTTACTTGCATCCATGTAGAGTGGAAAGAGTAACAAGGGCTTTGCAGGTGGGCGTACAGACAGGGCGTGAGGGTTTGTACCAGGGACTTTGTCTGGGAGGTTAGCACCTGCTGGGGAGGTCAGGGATGGCTTCTCTGAGAAAGTGACACTGGAGCTGAGGTCTGGCACTGAGCAGAGGGAATAGTCAGCGCAAAGGGACTTCGGCAGGAGGAGCAAGATGAATCCATTCGTTATGAGGGGAACGGTTGCTTCCACGACCCCAACCCCCCCTCATATCAACATCATCAGATGCTTAAGTCCTTTATATACAATAGTGTAGTATTTGCATTTAACCTACACACTTCCTCCCATATACGTTATGTCATCTCTGGATTAATGATAATACTTAATACGATGTAAATACAATGTAATTAGTTGTTATACCATATTGTTTAGGGATCCGCTTCCTGGAATATTTTTTCTTTTTCTGATATTTTTTATCTGAGGCTGGTTGAATGTGAGGATGTGGAACGCTAGGATACAGAGGGCCGATGGTACAAGGACGGAACCAAGGCCTGTGTAGCTGGAGCATGGCACGAGGGGCTGCCCAGTGGGGCTGTGGGGCTGGTGGTGCAGAGCGCACCCAGCGGGACACACATCCTTCCGACTGTGGCAGGCGAGGGCTCCTGGGCAGCTCTTCCGTCCCTGACCTCCCCCAGTTTAGAGTGTCCAGGCACTTCACTTTTCAAACAAGTTGTTTTGTTTCTCAAGAGCTGTACTGAGATATAATTCACCTGCCATAAAATTCACCCCTTCAAGGTGTACAGCTTAATGGTCTTAAGTGTATTAAGATGGTGTTGCAGCCACCACCACTGTCTAATTTCAGAACATTTTCCTCACCCTAGAAACATCTATTGAGTCATTTCCCATTTCCCCCTCCCCCCAGCTCCTGGCAACCGCCGATCTGCTTTCTGTTTTATGGATTTGCTTTTTCCGAACATTTCATATAAATGAAATCATAATAATACGTGGCTTTTTGTGATTTTTAAACAAGTTTTTAAAAAGCATTCTTTTTCCTTCATTAGCAAAATCTACTTGCTTTTTAGAGGGGAAGATGAAAGTGAAGCATTGTAGCCTTTTTGGGGTCTGCAGTTCTACTGACATTCCCAGCGTACACCCCCTGATCCCCACCACCCTCTCCTCCCCCTCTCCCCTGGACAGTTTGGAAAATTCAGAATGGTGCCTGGCCCTTTGCTCACTTTGTTTTATCCTTGAACTTTCTGACTGCCAGCTGTTTTCTCAGAATTCCTCAGGGGACGCACCTGAAGCTCCGGGTTTCTGAGCCACTCTCTGGAGGGTCCTTCCCAGTGGAACTGTGGCCAGCCACGCGGGTTCATATCCTGACTTTGGCGCTATTCATTAGCTGTATGACCTTGGGCTAGTAAATCGCCACTCTGCGCTTCAGTTTCCTCGTCTGTAAAATGGACCTGATGAGACAACCCAGAGTTATTGGTGTGGCCTCTGTCACTGCCATCGTCGTCACTGGGGAGAGTTTTGGGTTTGGAATCATGGGAGCAGGATTCTGGTCCTGGCTGTGCCGCTCGCTGGCTGTGCAGCTGTGGGAAGCCACTCCCTCTCTGAGCCTGCATTTCCCAGTGTCTGAACTGGGACCGATAAATGATGCTTCACAGTTATTGGGTAGATCAGTAGTGAGACTGCACAGAAAAATCGGCAGTAAACTATAAAGTTCTGTGCCTTGTGAGGTGTCACTCCTGCGTGCTCTGGTGTCCCGTCAGCCTCACTATGCTTTGACTCAGATCGATTTTGCTGGTCTTCTAAACATCAATTCTCTAAGAAAAGCCCACCGTGGGGTACAACACGCCGCCTGTTCTCATGGCGCCTTGTTCCCAGCCTTGCCCAGACTCACCTTTTGAACGTGGCTGCTTTCCCATGATGTTCTTCCTGAAAGGCAGTGTGCCTAGTGGCTAAGAGTGAGGGTACCGCGGGGGTCATTCTGGGGGACCCAAGTTACAATCCTAGAGCAAGTTGTGTAACCAAAGCTTAGTCTCTTGGAACCTTGGTTTTCCTTCCTGTAAAATGGGGATAATGTAGTACCTACCTTAGAGGATTGAGGGGGTGAAAGTGTTGGTCTTATGAAGATCCCCTTCCATGCTGGCAAAGCCGACTCAGTAAATGGGGCTGCCATGTCACTGTTGGAACCTGGGCTTATGAGGGCCGGGGGAGCCTTTTCAGGCCTCCCATTGGTGAGTGTCAGGTGGAGATGTTTCTATTAACCAGGATCCCACTGTGCTCCTTGTGAGGAGTGTTCGGGCCGGAGGTCCTCAGTCCTTGAGCACCCAGCTGACCTGGGCCACAGAGGCCATTGGCCTTGGTTCTGGCAACCAAGGGAGGCTGTGGCTAGTCCTGATGACCCTCCCCCACATTGGCAACCATAGCCCCAGGTCATGTCCTGTAGCCTCCAGCCCTCCCACTCCTCTTGTGGATGTCCCTGGCGTAATGGCCTCCACACCCGCAAGGCACCTGCCAGATATATAACTCGAAGGTAGTTTCTCGCATCCCATGAGTTGCCTTTTCACTTTGTTGATATTGTCTGATGATGCACAAAAGGTTTTATTTTGATGAAGTCTAATTTATTTATTTTTTCTCTTATTGCATGTGCTTTTGGTGTCATGTCCAAAAAATCATTGCGAAATCTAATGTATGAAGCTTTCCCCCTATGTTTTCTTCTAAGAGTTTTATAGATTTAGCTCTTATATTTAGGGTCTTTGATCCACTTGGAGTTAATTTTTGTACATGGTATTAGGTAAGGGTCCAACTTCATTCTTTCACATGTGGATATCCAGTTTTCCCAGCACCATTTGTTGGAAAGACTGTCCTTTCCCCATTGAATGGCCTTGGCACCCTTGTCAAAAGTCATTTGACCATTTATATGAGGGTTTATTTCTGGGCTCTGTATTCTATTCCATTGACCTATATGTCATACTACATTATTTTGATTACTGTAGCTTTGTAGTAAGTTTTGAAATCAGGAAACGTGAGACCTGCAATTTTTCAAGGTTGTGTTGTCTATTGGGGTCCTTTAAGATTTCATATGAATTCTAGGATGCATTTTTCTGTTTCTGAAAAAAATGTCACTGGGATTTTGATAAGGGTTGCACTGAATCTGTAGATTGCTTTGGGTAGTATTGGCATCTTAATGTAAAACTTTCAATCCATGAACATAGGATGTCTTTGCATTTATTTATTATATCTTCTTTAATTTTTTTTAGCTAGCAACATTTTGTAGCTTTCAGTATACAAGTCTTTTTTGCCTCCTTGGATACGTTTACTCCTAAGTATTTTATTCTTTCTGATGCTATTGTAAATGGAATTGTTTTCTTAATTTCCTTTATGGAGTTTTCATTGTTAATATATAGAAACACAAGTGATTTTTAAGTGTTGATTTTTATAACCTGCAGCTTTGCTGAATTTGTTTGTTAGTTCTAGTTGGCCTGCTTTTTAAACAATCCAATTAGTTGCCAACATTTAAATCTTCCTTAAATTCATATAAAAATCTGGGCTTGCTTTCTGTCATAAAATATTGGATGATGTGGCATCTCGGGGCTGACATTCTGCATGGCATTCACTCCCTGGCATCTAGTAGCAGTCCCCACCTTTGGCAGAAATGAGCATCTTTCGGCGTGTCCGGCCCCCACCACCCTTCCTGCCCCACCACCTGCCTGGCGGCTTTGCTCAAAGACCCTCTTTACCTGGCCCCCCCATGCATTCAGCATTCTTTCTGCCTGTATATACTGAACACCTACTATGTGCCAGGCACTGGGAGTACAGTGCCTGACATAGTAGACAAATATCCCTGCCTTCACAGACTTTTATTCTGGGAACAGAACTTACGTGTGCTAGGTAGGCTCTGTCCTAAGCACTTTGCATATATTATCTCATTTAATCTCACTTAACTCAAGACACCCTCAATGAGGTAGCGTCATTATACAGACGAGAAAACGGAGGGGCGTGGTGAAGCTGAGACTTGTCTAAGGTTATCCGGCAAATAGGGTGATGTCTGTGTTAGAACCTGGGCAGTCCGGCCTGAGAATCCATGCTCTCAGGTGCCCCTCAGTGGCAGAAGGACTTAAATGTGAAAACTTGGCAGTGGAGGCACTGCAGGGTGGATGGGGTCAGGCAGGCTCCGTCAGCGGTCTCGTAGGCACCGACCGGGAAGGGGAGCATGTTGGGGACACGGGGGGCTGCTCCTGGGGTTGTCCCTCGGGCCTCTGGGTTGTGTTTCCTGAGGCCTAATAGATCCCAGCCTTCCTAGCCTTCCTAGCCTAGCGATACCTCTGCCTGGCCACTGGGAGAGCCGCCCTTTCCTCAGGAGACAGCTGATGATGGTGGGCCAGGCGTGGTGGCAGGTGGTCTGCGTTGATACAAGCAGCGGGTGGCTGAGAAAGCAGTGTCCCGCACAGGGCTTCTGCCAAGAGATGTAAACGTAGGTGGTGTCAGGTCTGCACACAGGCCCCAGCTCCTGGCTCCACCCTCTGCACCGGGCCCATGATTCAGTTTTCCTGGCTGATGAGCCCAGGCCTGGAAAGAGGTGCCCCCCAAGCCCAGCCTGGTCCCTTCCTCAAGCCTGGAGTTGACACTGCTGTCCTAGGGGCCCATCCCAGCAGTCTGTCAGGAGCCTGCTTTCTCCTGTGGCGCTTTGCACTCAGAGTGTATATGCTACCTCTTCGCTGGTACTTCAAGTGTTTATTGAGTATCTGCTAAGTGCTGGTCACTTGCTGAGGCTGGGCTCATGATGAGTGGTGGAGAAGGACCGTCTCCTCCTTGCATACAGGTGGAAGCACCATTGCTGACTCAGAGCTGTGGTAGGTGCATAAAGGGGATGCCTACAGGGGCCCCCTCCCGTGACAGGCCCTCTTGTCTGGGGAGGTTCACCCTCAGCTCTTCACGCCCGTGTCCTCACTGCTCTGAGCCCGTCTGCCGTCTCCTGTCTGTGGTTCTCTCTGGGTGCCTCCGTTTGTCTGTCTTTTTTGCTTATTGTTTCCTGACCCTGAGGGACTCTTGGCACCTTCCGCCAAGCCCTCCCAAAGCAGACCCCTCCAGGCGGAAGGCAAGGGTCCCACTCCTGGGCAGCATGAGTTCCTATTTCCCAGCCCCATACGGATCTGGCCTCCGGGGGCGCAGTCACCGCGTACCACTGAGTGGTTTGTACCTGACCGGCCACCCTGCTGTGTTGGACTGTGTCCCCCTGCTGCCCTAGACAAACCAGGAGATGAGTGAGTGTCTGAACTCTCTGACAAAAGGGGTCTTTTACAGCCCCTCCCTCAAACCCGCCACCCCCACCCTCCTCCCCCCTTTGCAGCCACCTCCTCAGGGCCCCTCAGAGTTCCAGACAGAGCCAAGGAGCGCCCAGGGTTCCGATTGTGATGCAAGAAGGAAGCGGGAGCCTGAGCTGCAGGCCTGTGGCAGGCAGGCATCCTGACCCCCCAAGTAAACACTGGAGAACCCCACTTTCACTGCACCCGGGTCTGAGTGCCAGCCAGCCAATGGCATTGGGGACAAGCGAGGTCAGAGTACACCCAGCCCCGGCACTGGGGCGCTGGTTCAGTGCAAATGGACCATCCTGGGTGATTTCTGAGAGAGGGAAATGGGGTGTGAGGGGGGCCTCCACCCTTTCAAAAGGAGGTGGACCCACGTATTTCAGGGTGGGGGGAGTACAAGAGGAATACATATTCTTTAGGGCTTAAAAATTACTGAAAAGCATAAAGAATTTGTCAAATGTAATTCTACAGTCCAGAGACCTCTACTTTTTTGTTTGCACACACAATTTTGTTTTCAGGGTTTTCTTTGACTTAATGTGCCGCACCTCCATGTCATTTAAAGCTCCTGATAAACATAACAAATGACTACCTGATAGTCCGTGTGTGCACATACCATAATGTCCCTAGCCCTTTCCCTAAGGCCGGGTGTTCGGGTGATTCCCCATTTCACTGCTAAGGAATGGAATGCTGCCTTGTGCGAACCTCTCCTCGCTCCCCTCTGGGGCTAAAGGAACTGAGCACCTCTTGCACCAGGCTCTTAATAGAAAGGGGTACTGGGGGTGTGCAGAGAAGTGGCACAAGCTTTGCCACCATGCTTGGTCCATAGCCCAGTGCATTGCTAAGAGGGAACTTGGTGGAAGAGGTGACAGAGGTGACCCAACCCCTAGATTATCTGCTTGTCCACCAAGAGGCTTTGGGCCGCTCCCGGCTCCCCCCTGGGTCTTGTGTCTTGGAATTCTCCCACCCCACCCCACCCCAACCATGAGTGAGCAGCGCTGGGGTCCCTGGCCTTTGCCCCGGTGGGGTGCAGCCCAAGGCCCACTTCCTCCCCTGACCTGCCCAGAGAGGCAGAGGCCCGACTTGTGGTTCAGCCACCTTCTCCAGCCCTGGGAGACAGTGAGCGCCCACAGACGGCTGATGGCATCTCAGCCATTAAAGTGGGGAGATTTTACACACACACCCCGGAAATCCCAATGTCTGGCCTCACTTGAAAGGTTAGAAGTTTGGTGACACTGGGCCCGTGTGCTCCCCTGGCCACAGTCCGCAGGATGGCCGCCTCCTTCAGGTGGACCCCGGGTGCCTAGTCCTGCACTGCCCCTCACCCGCCTTACCTGGCTGGCCCCTGTGGGCCCCTTTGTCACTCACTTATTGTTTAGTAATAAGGACCCAGTGCTTCATGGCCTGCTGTGTAAACCACACCTCCTAAACCTCCACAGAGTGAGTCTGACTCTCACTGTGCATTTTCCAAGGTGCAGGTGGTCATTAGAGAATGTTCTGCAGGAAAAACCCCAAACATACTCTGATGAATGCGGGTGACAAATGCCGTTGTCTGCATTTGTGTTATTTCCCCAGGAGAGATTCCTGATGTGGACAGGGTCTGGGGCCTGCGGGGAGGGCTGCCGGCTGGAGGACACAGCTCCAGGGAGGGTTCTGTCCTGAAATCTGCTCCCTCGGGGCTGGTTTCCCTGCTTTGGGCTCCAGCTGGGCCAGGTCACCCTTGCCTCCCAATGGGGTGCACAGGCCCCTTCTCTTGCTAACAGCCTCACTGGCCACAGCTTTCCTGCAAGGCAGACTGGGAGCTGGAGTGGAGGCAGGTCCCAGATGTACCCCGGTTGCTGGCAGATGCATCTCCTTGGGCAGACTCACCAGGATCCACTCAGAAAGTGGAAAATTCTAGGGGCTGGGCAAGGATGGATGCAGGTTTTAAAGTACCTGGAATTTACACAATTTGGGGTCCCTTTTTTTTAAAAAAAAATATAAAATTACAAATACAAAAGTAGGTACAGGCCTTGGCAGGGGCCTGTGTAAGGCAGGCGTCCTGAGAGTCAGCCTCCTGAGTCTTCTGGTGAAGCTGCCCCTGGCGTGGGCCCAGGGTGGCACAGGGGTCACCTCTGCTGCACTTGACCCCCAGACTTTCCTGAGAGCCCAAGCTGGCTGGGGTCCTGTGGTGGGAGAGGGTGCTGAAGGCTGTCAGGACCAGGTATCTCTCACCTGGAGTCCCAGGTGTGGCCTGATGCTTGAACACAGGGAGGGCTGGGGCTGTGGGGTCGCGTAAGAGGCCTGGGTGTGGGCTGGAGCTGAGGAGCATGGCTGACCGTAACCCTGGCTTTGTGCTGGCAGGTGGAAAACCTGAAGGAGAGGCTCATTAGCCAGGCCCAGGAAGTGAGCCGCCTCCGGTCAGAGCTGGTGAGACCAACAACGCATCCTGCGTGGAGTGGGGGTGGGGGGCTGACGCACCCTGTGCAGACTGGCCCGTCCACATGAGGGGTGTGACCCCGTCCAGCCCAAATGGGGGCTGCATCCCGTCTCAACAACACTCCCTAAATACATGTTGCCAGCCACTAGGCCCTCAGAGGTCGTGTGATCACCAAGGGGAGGGAGGTTAATTCTCCTTTGCTGATGTAAAATAGGAGTGTGAACTCTGTGTAAATGTGACTTTCCTTGTTACTTTCACACTCAGGAAAATAGAATGAAAGGGGTGGGGTGCCACAGGGAGCACTTCCTGCTTCACCTCCCTCCTCGCTTGTTCTCTCCTCTGTCTTCATCTTTATTTCTCTCCCGGGCCCCTTCTCTCTTCTCTCCTTCACACGCCTTTCTTTCGCTTTTCTCCTTCTGTCTTTCTCCCCGTGTCTCCCCCTCTCTCCCCTGCCCATCCCCCGTCTTTCCTCCCCGTCTGCCCTGGCCACATGCGCCCCTTGGCTCTGACTGTGCAGGGAGGTACTGACCTGGAGAAGCACCGGGACCTGCTGATGGTGGAGAATGAGCAACTGAGGCAGGACATGCGGCGCTGTGAGGCGGAGCTGCAGGAGCTGCGGGCGAAGCCAGCGGCCCCCTGCGCGGGCTGCGAGCACAGCCAGGTGGGCACAGGACCAGGGAGGTCCCGGAGGGCTCCGTTCCTAACAGTGACCCCTGCCTGCTGGTCTGTCTATCTGTCTGCCTCACACGTGTCCGGGCCTTGTCTCCTGCCTGCAGGAGAGCGCCCAGCTCCGTGACAAGCTGTCACAGCTCCAGCTGGAGGTGACGGAGAACAAAGGCATCTTGTCAGAGCTGAACCTGGAGGTGCAGCAGAAGACCAACCGGCTGGCCGAGGTGGAGCTGCGGCTCAAGGACTGCCTGGCCGAGAAGGCGCAGGAGGAGGAGCGGCTCAGCCGGCGCCTGCGTGACAGCCACGAGACCATTGCCAGCCTGCGGGCCCAGTCGCCGCCTGTCAGGGTGAGCCCCGGGCCGGTGGCTTTGTGCAGTGCCCTCGCGAGCCTGGACTGTGCCTCAGTGCTCAGCCCCTGGCGCCCAGGGCAGGGCTGGCATGTGGGAGCAGGCGTGAGTGGTTGAAGGCAGCATTCCACGTCTGCACTCGGACCGGCCCCTTCCCCTTTTGCTGTCCAGGGCTGGGCACGTGGTAGGCATCCAACAACCACTGCTTGAGGTACTCGCTACGTGCCAGGTGTGGACGCGGTGCATCAGTGGCTTCTGCCCTCATCTTTGCTCTTCTTATCTGTTCTGTGCCCAGGCTGGGGCCACAGTCAGGCTCAGAGTTGAGCTCATTAAGATGAGAAGATTCCAGGAGGCCCTTGCAGCATTCTGAACAGCTCGGACCTCCTGGCTTCTCTAGTTTTATCCAGGGGCTCTTGGTGGGTTGTCCCTCCCCAGGCTGGCCACAGCTCAGGTCCCTGGGGTGAGGTCAAGGTGCCCCACACCTCCATGTGCCCATCCCTTTCTCGCCTAGCAGTATGTCATCAAGACGGTGGAGGTGGAGTCGTCCAAGACCAAGCAGGCCCTCAGTGAGACCCAGGCCCGGAACCAGCACCTGCAGGAGCAGGTGGCCATGCAGAGGCAGGTGCTGAAGGAGATGGAACAGCAGCTGCAGAGCTCCCACCAGCTGACCGCACAGCTCCGGGCACAGGTGTGCAGGCCGCATGGGGTGCATGTGGCTGTCGGGGAGCACGTGCATGCAGCAGAGGAGAGAGAGCCTTCAGTACAGGGCGGCGTTTGGCATTCAGGGGCCTGACAGAGCCAGGTGCCATTTGCTCCTCTCCCCGCTGGCTCTGTGACCAAGAGCCAGTTTTGTTCAAGTCTCTCTTTCCTCATCTGTAAAATGATGCGATCACAGAACCCACCTCCCAGTGGGGCTCAGGACAGAATCACAAGAGGGTCTTCGCACAGGGCCCAGCACACACGCTTTCAGAAAGGTGCTGTAGTCAGTATTATAACCAATGCTCTTCCTGCTTTCCTGGGGCTTGTGCACATGTTACATGTACAAGGACCCAGATTGGTGCTGGGGCAACCCAAGGATGTAGCCAGAAGGAGCTCACAGCCCTATGGGGGAGAGAGATGGCCATCCTACCCCTCTCCTCTGTGTGTGTGCATGCATGTATGTGTTCAGGTGCGTTTGGGGGGGGAGTAAGAGGCTCCCACCCCACTCCCTCCTGAGCCCCATGTATTGATCTTCCGGCCTC